GTAAACCGAGGCCTGGGGCCCCGGCGCTCAACCGCGTGGACCACACACGGAGAGACACGCAGACAGACAGACAGATACACACCAATAGACAGACAGACAGACACACTTACACAGAGACCAGACAGATAGACAGACAGACAGACACGGACAGATACACAAAATGACAAGACAGATGGACAGACGCACACAGACACAGACCGGGCAGACAGACAGACAGACGGATCACAGAGACACAGACAGACAGACAGACACTGATAGACAGACAGAGAGACAGACACACAGACAGACCACCAAGACACACAAATAGACACATAGACAGACACACGGACACAGAGACAGACAGACAGACAGACAGACTGATAGACACACAGACAGACAGACAGACAGGTACATTGACCAGAGCAGACAGACCAGAGACACAGACAGACAGACATAGGGACAGACAAGACAGAGAGACAGACAGACACAGACAGACGCACAGATAAAGAGACCAGGCAGACAGACAGACAGACAGAGCACAGAAACACACAAATAGACAGACAGACAGACAGACACACACAGATAGACAGACAGACCAAATAGACACAGACAGACACACGGATACATAGACCAGGCAGACAGACAGACAGACAGATACACACCAATAAACAGACAGACAGACACACTGACAGAGAGGTAGACACACAGACAGACACAGGGACACACGGACCGACAGACACACAGAAGAGGCCGGACAGACACACAGATTCACAGACCAGACAGCCAGACCATAGAAACACAGACAGACAGAGAGACCAATGGGACAGACACAGAGACCAGACAGACAGACACAGACCGAGAAGACAGACAGACACCAATAGACAGACAGACAGACAGCGATAGACAGACAGAACAACAGAGAGACAGACAGACAGACTCACGGACACTCAGACAGACAGAAGCACACACTGATAGACACAGAGACACAGACAGACACACGGACACAGACACCAGGCAGACAGACAGACAGCAGGGACAGACACACAGACACAGAGAACAACGAGACAGACAGACACAGACACAGAAACCAGACGGACAGACAGACACAGAAACCAGACAGACACAGAGACACACGGACAGACACAGACAGACAGACAGACAGACACAGACAGACAGACAGAGACTAGACGGACAGACAGACATAAACACAGAGAGACACACAGACGGCTACAGAGACAGACAGACAGACAGACACAAGAGACCGGACAGACACACGGATACATAGACCAGGCAGACACACAGACAGAGACCAGAGAGATAGACACACAGACACAGACAGACACAGAGACAGACAGACAGACACAGACAGGCACAGACACACAGACCAGGTAGACACACAGACAGACAAACGGATACAGAGACAGACACACCCAGATAGACAGACCAGACACAGAGACACACAGACAGACACAGACAGACACAGACACACAGATACACAGACAGACAGACGGACACACAGACAGACACACGGACACACCGATAGACAGACCGACATGCAAGCAGACACACAGACCAGACAGATAGACACACAGACAGACGCACAGACACAGAGACAGATGCACAGACAGACAGACAGACACAAGAGACCGGAGAGACACACGGATACATAGACCAGGCAGACAGACAGACAGACAGCAGGGACAGACAGAGACCGGACAGACAGACAGACGGAGGAGACACAGAGACAGACAGACGCAGACAGACACACAGATTCACAGACCAGACAGACAGACAGACAGACCACCGAGACACACAAATGGACATATAGACAGACACACGGACACAGAGACAGACAGACAGACACACAGGTACACTGACCAGAGCAGACAGACCAGAGACACAGACAGACAGACAGACAGACAGACATAGGGACAGACAAGACAGAGAGACAGACAGACGCAGACAGACGCACAGATAAAGAGACCAGGCAGACAGACAGACAGACGGATACACACCAATAGACAGACAGACAGACAGACACACACAGATAGACAGACACACAGACAGACCAAATAGACACAGACAGACACACGGATACATAGACCAGGCAGACAGACAGACAGACAGATACACACCAATAAACAGACAGACAGACACACTGACAGAGAGGTAGACACACAGACAGACACAGGGACACACGGACCGACAGACACACAGAAGAGGCCGGACAGACACACAGATTCACAGACCAGACAGACAGACCATAGAAACACAGACAGACAGAGAGACCAACGGGACAGACACAGACCAGACAGACAGACACAGACACACAGATACACAAACGAAGCAGACGGACAGACAGACCACAGGCCAGATATACACGCAGACAGACACACAGACATAGAGACCCCCGAGACAGACAGACAGACTCAGGGACACACAGACAGACAGACAGACAGCAGGGACAGACACACAGACACAGAGAACAACGAGACAGACAGACACAGAAACCAGACGGACAGACAGACAGACACAGACCAGACGGACACAGAGACACACGGACAGACAGACATAGACACAGACAGAGAGACAGATGGATACAGAGACAGACAGACAGACCAAAGAGACCGGACAGACACACGGACACATAGACCAGGCAGACACACAGACAGAGACCAGACTGATAGACACAGAGACAGACAGACACACAGACACACAGATTCACAGACCAGACAGACAGACCCTAGAAACACGGACACACAGAGAAACCAACGAGACAGACACAGAGACCAGACAGACAGACAGAGACAGACAGACAGACAGACAGACGCAGACACACAGATACACAAACTAAGCAGACGGACAGACAGACAGACCACAGAGACACAGACAGACAGACAGACACACTTACACAGAGACCAGATAGATAGACAGACAGATACGGACAGATACACAAAATGACAAGACAGACAGACAGACGCACACAGACACAACCCAGGCAGACAGACAGACAGACGGACAGATCACAGAGACACAGACAGACAGACAGACACTGATAGACAGACAGAGAGACAGACACACAGACAGACCACCAAGACACACAAATAGACACATAGACAGACACACGGACACAGAGACAGACAGACAGACAGACAGCCTGATAGACACACAGACAGACAGACAGACAGGTACACTGACCAGCGCAGACAGACCAGAGACACAGACAGACAGACATAGGGACAGACAAGACAGAGAGACAGACAGACACAGACAGACGCACAGATAAAGAGACCAGGCAGACAGACAGACAGACAGAGCACAGAAACACACAAATAGACAGACAGACAGACAGACACACACAGATAGACAGACACACAGACAGACCAAATAGACACAGACAGACACACGGATACATAGACCAGGCAGACAGACAGACAGACAGATACACACCAATAAACAGACAGACAGACACACTGACAGAGAGGTAGACACACAGACAGACACAGGGACACACGGACCGACAGACACACAGAAGAGGCCGGACAGACACACAGATTCACAGACCAGACAGACAGACCATACAAACACAGACAGACAGAGAGACCAACGGGACAGACACAGACCAGACAGACAGACACAGACCGAGAAGACAGACAGACACCAATAGACAGACAGACAGACAGCGATAGACAGACAGAACGACAGAGAGACAGACAGACAGACTCACGGACACTCAGACAGACAGAAGCACACACTGATAGACACAGAGACACAGACAGACACACGGACACAGACACCAGGCAGACAGACAGACAGACAGCAGGGACAGACACACAGACACAGAGAACAACGAGACAGACAGACACAGACACAGAAACCAGACGGACAGACAGACAGACACAGAAACCAGACGGACACAGAGACACACGGACAGACACAGACAGACAGACAGACAGACACAGACAGACAGACAGAGACTAGACGGACAGACAGACATAAACACAGACAGACAGACAGACGGCTACAGAGACAGACAGACAGACAGACAGACACACGAGACCGGACAGACACACGGATACATAGACCAGGCAGACACACAGACAGAGACCAGAGAGATAGACACACAGACACAGACAGACACAGAGACAGACAGACAGACACAGACAGGCACAGACACACAGACCAGGTAGACATACAGACAGACAAACGGATACAGAGACAGACACACCCAGATAGACAGACCAGACACAGAGACACACGGACAGACACAGACAGACACAGACACACAGATACACAGACAGACAGACGGACACACAGACAGACACACGGACACACCGATAGACAGACCGACATGCAAGCAGACACACAGACCAGACAGATAGACACACAGACAGACGCACAGACACAGAGACAGATGCACAGACAGACAGACAGACACAAGAGACCGGAGAGACACACGGATACATAGACCAGGCAGACAGACAGACAGACAGCAGGGACAGACAGAGACCGGACAGACAGACAGACGGAGGAGACACAGAGACAGACAGACGCAGACAGACACACAGATTCACAGACCAGACAGACAGACAGACAGACCACCGAGACACACAAATGGACATATAGACAGACACACGGACACAGAGACAGACAGACAGACAGACAGGTACACTGACCAGAGCAGACAGACCAGAGACACAGACAGACAGACAGACAGACAGACAGACATAGGGACAGACAAGACAGAGAGACAGACAGACGCAGACAGACGCACAGATAGAGACCAGGCAGACAGACAGACAGACGGATACACACCAATAGACAGACAGACACACTGACAGAGAGGTAGACACACAGACAGACACAGGGACACACAGACTGACAGACAGACAGAAGAGGCCGGACAGACACACAGATTCACAGACCAGACAGACAGACCATAGAAACACAGACAGACAGAGAGACCAACGGGACAGACACAGAGACCAGACAGACAGACACAGACACACAGATACACAAAC